GCTCTGCCGCGGTTGTAGTCACCATGCGACTGAGAATGCTCGTCACCTGGAGGTCGTTTGCCTTGGCCGCTCCAAGAAGGGGGCCGAGAACCTCTCCAGAGTCCGTAAGGGTTTCTGCTCGTGCTTAGACACCTGCTCGAAAGCTGGAGGCCACCTGAGCAGGCCCGATCCGTCTCACTTCCCCCCTGGGCGCGCCGCCGACGCGATGCAAGCCCGGGTGTGTGCGGAGGCTCGTGCTGGGGTTCCCTAGTCCTCGGGTTCTGACGGGCCCCTCCCTGCAGCTGACGCCCCGCAAAGAGAGCGCCTGCGGGCGATGCCGTTCTGGGGCGCTGCGGCATGGAGCCCCAGCCAGCGGGCGGCCTGGTCCCCATAGAACCGCCCTCGCCCTCGCCCTCGCTCCCCCTCGCCCTCGTCACTCCCCCTCGCTCCTCATCGCTCCCCCTCGCCTTCGCCCTCGCTCCCCCTTGCCCTCCTCGCTCCCCCTCGCTCCTCCTCGCTCCCCCTCGCCCTCGCCCTCGCTCCCCTCCGCCCCCAGCTGCCGCCTCTCGAGGTCCCCGTCTGTGTCCCCGCAGGCCTCCGGGGCCCCCACGGAGGGCCCCAAGGCGTACTCCCGAGCCTCGAGGAGGAGGCGGAGCAGGGCATGGCACCGCCCGAGAATCGAACGGGCAGCTGGATTCCCAGGGTCGCCGGCGTTGGTGTCAACTCTCATCGGTGATGTCCGTGCCGCGTGGACGGTATCAGATTGAATCCTTCTGCTCCTCCCAGCCCTCATCCCAGCCCTCCTCCTCCTCCTCCTCCTCCTCCTCCTCCTCCTCCTCCTCCTCCTCCTCCTCCTCCCGACCCTTCTACCCCTTCCTCCCAATCATGCCTCCTGAGTGCCTTGCCGAATACAGGGAGCACGAAACGCAGGCGCAACCACCGCCTTGCGCTTGCTCCGCCACGACGGCAGAGTGAAAGCTGCCATACAGCGTGGCCACCGTGCAGCGAGACGCAACGTCGGGAAACAAACACGCACTGCCCTTCTGCAACTGCCACGCGCCCTCGCCACATCGATGGCCAGCGCCACTGCTGCACAACGGCAGCGAAGCGCGTCGGGTTACGGCGATCGCGTACAACGGCAAGGCTGCGTTCGCGCAAGACCACAGCCACAGCCGAACACTCGCGAGGCCATGTCGAAGTCAATGCGTCAGGCTGCACCGCGCCAGCGGGAGGAGCAGCGACGTCGGACCCAAAAACCTCGACGCGGAGGCGGGGCAGCCAGAGAAGAGAGCGCCCCGCGCCCTGTAAACACGAGCGTGCCAGTCTACCACGTGTGCTGCTCTCTGGAGCCAGCCAGTGTCAACAGTAAAAATTCAGCACGGCTTCTTACCAAATTGCGACGAATCGTTTCCGATGATTTCACACAGGATGCCTCTCGAAAATGGGGCCGAAGGACCCCCCTTCAAAAGAGGCCGCTGGCAAGCCCTCCGACCTCCATGCGGGGGAAAGGGGGGGAGTTGGCCCGTGAACGGGCGCGGCACGAAACAAACAAAAGCAGCGCAACTTGCATGCATGATGTAAAAAGCCGCGCACTGCGAGGGAACAAGCTGTGTGCCACTGCGCATGGAGGGAGGGGAGAGGAGGAGGGGAAGGGGGGAGGAGGCGCAGGGGCAAGGGCGGTGGAAGAGAAGGTACTGAAGAGCGCCATGCTTGCCCAAATGCTATCGGATGTCCACCGCGATGACTCTGGCACCGCCAGCGCCTGCATCCAGGATCGCTCCCGCTGCCGCCTCCCTACACCCTAGAAAGGAGCAGTGCGCTCCCTGTGCCTCGAGCTAGGCCGCACGGAGCCGCCACCGCCCATACGTTCCCACATTCAACCATAAGTGCACTTGCCACCTTTTTGCCACACAGGCAAGCGCCATCCCCGTTTAAAGACTGTTCGGATGGTATGGCTGACAAGAGGCAAATCCTCCTCGTCCGCCCTTCCTGTCGCAAGCGTCAGCACATCATCGAGGTACATGCTGTAACTGGCTTGGTAGATGCGTATCGGGTTTGCTGCGCCTGCTCGTTATACGCGGACGTTGATCCCATGTCCAGCAAGCCTTGCCATTTGTCCAGACTGAGATGTTCCCACCAGGCGTGTCATGCATTGCATGCTGCAAACCATATCAGGCCCGCGTCCTCCTCATAATGAACCCAGCTTACTTCGCACCCCTGGACCGCGCAGTGCTGGGCCAGAATGCTCAAAACAGTGGTCTGGGCGCATACACAGGTGCAACGTCTCTCATGATTTGGTCTTACTGCGCGTGTGGCTGTGAGAGCTGATCAGGGAAGTGTGCAAAGATGGCGTGGCGTCATCAAGCAAAACGCTGCCTGCCGTGAACGCAACCACGGGCTTAGAAAGACGAACACCCCGCAAGGCTATTATACACGTGTAGGTACCCACGAGTGCTAGTGTGAAGAAGTTGGTAGAAATATGAATGAAGTAGAGACATGCAGCATAAAAGCACTGAAACTAGATTCGGTTTCCACCCGCTCCCTCTAGAGGAGGGAAGAGGGAAACACGTTCGACGATTGGAATAGGAAGGCGCCGAAAATACATTGGGATCTGAGAACCCAAAAAACAAACTATCAACTACAGATGGGTCAGCAGGGCGCCCTCGGAAACTAACCCCTAGATCCAGGCGGCCCCATGGGCACATCGCCCCACGAGTGCCGCGATCGGAAGAGCGTATGACCATCGCATCGTGTGGACCAAGACATCACCAGGGCAGAGGAAACGCACGGTGCCAGCTGTCCACCGAAGCCATTGTAGGATTGGCCAAGAACTCTCGCGGCGCTTCAACACGACTGGGTCCTCCTAATCATTGCTTTGCCCCTCCCTCAGTCTATCCTCGTCCTCCTCCTCCTGGTCCTCCTCTTCCTCGTTTTCCTCCTCCTCGTTCTCTCCTCGTCCTCCTCATCCTTCCTTCGTCCTCGGACGTCCTCCATCACCACCTCCTCCAACCCAACTAAACTACAATGATAGCTCCAGTGGCCCGACGGCAAAGGAGAAAGCAAATCGCAGAGACGCTAGGAAGCGAAGAGGTCTGAGGAGAAGGTCGAAGACTACCATGTGATTATAGCTGCACTGGCGTATAGACGAAGGCAACCGTTGGAACAAACCAATCCCGACACAAGAGATGCCAGCGGCTACGGCTGCGGGGAGTAGGCAGGTTGGCAAGGACGACCAAAATGCGACATCCGAGATCGGGAGAAGAGGAAACCTATCCAGGGAGGGCGCACACACACACACACACACACACACACACACCAGCAAGGGCCCCAGCAGCCTTTGCATGCATGCACGCACGGAAACACTGACAGACTGAAGAGCATCAAAGCACTGTAAGCGCGGACGTCCGAGTGTCCCAGGGAGTTATCTTTCCTCCTCCTCCTCCTCCTCCTCCTCCTCCTCCTCCTCCTCCTCCTCTTCCTCATCCTCCTCCACCTCATCCTCCGCCTTCCTGCGCCTCATTCCTCGTCCTCCTCCTCCAGGACCTTCCTCCACTTCCTTCCCTTCCTCCTCTTCCTTTCCCCCCCCTTTCTCAGTCCCCCTCCTCTTTCCTTCTCCCCCTCCATTCTATATCCTTATAGATCCTTCCACCCTATCGCACCCCGAGGCCGGTCGAAAGGGCTGGCTTGGCGTTTCGCCTGAGGCCCCCTAACCATTCGTGGTCCTGGAGCTTAACATGTGCCAGCAGTTTCACAGATGGAGGGCGGGCCGCTTCCACAGAGTGGCTCTCGCCTTGGCTCTGCGCACACTCGTTCAACAAATGTGCCAGGGCTTCACGGATGGAGGGCGTGTGTTTTTCAGAATGTGGCTCTCGACTTAGCGCCGCGCACATTCGATTTAAAATTTCCAAGCGCTTTACACATTGAAGGAAGGTCGTTCTCAAAATGTGGCCCTCGCCTCAGCGCCGCACACGCTCGACTTAAACAGTTGCAAGCGTGTCACGCATTGAGGGCGGATTGTTTTCAAAATGTGGCTCGCGCCTTAGCGCAACGCACATCCGTGATCAAGAATCCCAAAAACTTCACGGATTCAGGGCGGCTCCTTTTCGAAATGTGGCTCTCGCCTCAACGCCGCGCAAATGCGTCTTAAACATTTGCACGGGTTTCACGGGTTCACATGGTCACCGTACCAGAAATGGCGTTGTGGGGCGATTCAGGATTGACACAGCGGAGCAACAGTTACGATGAGTCGCGGAGCTGAGGTCCCAGGAACGGCGCTCTGACACGATTCTGATGCGTCAAGAGGCAAGAGTAAAGTTGCTTCGTGGCGCTGGGGTCCCGAAACTGGTATTGTGGCTAGCTTCGGGATCTTCAAACGGTTGACTCCCGATGGGGCAGTTCCCTCAGTGGACATGGACCCTTGCAGGTGCCTATGAAGAGAGAGCTTGGAGGGAGGGTGTATTCCACTGGTCCTCCTCCTCCTCCTCCTCCACCTCCTCCTCCTCGTCATCATCATGACCATCACCATCACCATCACCATCATCACCATCACCATCACCATCACCATCACCATCACCATCATCATCATAATCATCATCAGCATCATCATCAGCACCATCATCATCATCATCATCATCATCATCATCATATTCATCATCATCAGCAGCATGATCATCATCATCATCATCATCATCATCCTTCGTCTCCTCCTCCTGGCTTTTCCCTCCTCCTGTTCCTCCTGCAGATTCTAAACCTCAGAATCGTCCAAACTACAAGTACGTCCTAGTACTTCTCCCTCTCGCAATTCTCCTGACCGATCTTCCCCTGGAGCCTGCTCGTTTATCTATTGCGCGGCCCCGCGCGCAACCTCGCAAGCTCGAACCAGATTGGTCTATGGACGGGCCGAGGCAGCAACAGGCAAGAAACAGCACTGCGATTCACACGCACTAAAAATTCTTGCTGCCTGTATTGCCTCGGCCTCTCGCACGTCTCGTGAGACTGCCTGCCGGGCTCAGGCGACCTCCTCAGCCGGAGGTGGTCGGGCGCGCGCGCCTCGCGTACGCCTTCTGCTCACGGTCGTAGGAGTCCTGGCGCTCCGCCTCCAAGGCCGTCATCTCGAGTCCGAAGCTGGTCTTCATCACCCGCAGCAGCGCACCACGCTGATCGGGGTAGTTGGACATCCGCTCGATGACCGCCAACACTGTGGTCGAGAGCGCCTCCTGGTACGCCGGGCCCTCCTTCAATAAGTCTGGCATCTCGACCTTGATGAATCCGGCATCCTCCCTCGGCTCCTCCTTCTTGATTGAACTGCCCGCCTCTGTGCCCTTACCCTCGTCCTCATACGGGGGAAAGCGCATGACCTTAGTCAGGTGCTCGCTCCCAGTCGGCATCTCCATCTTGCAGGACGGTTTGTGGACAGCAGCCTCGAAATAGCTCCTCTCCTACTCGCTCACCTGGCGGATCATCGAGTCCTCGATGGCAGCTCCGGTGAGCACCTGGACGTAGTTCGTGTTGTTATGGTATGTCAGGGTCACTCTCATGTGTCGACTCGCCTTCAGGCCCGTGTCTAGGACTCCAGCTGGCACCTTCACTGTCATCTTACGGTCGGCCGCTACGCAACCGACGATGTTCGGGTAGCTGGTCTCTGCATCCGTGAGACTCTGGAGGAAGCTTCGCGCCGCGTGGGCTTCCCCGCGCGCTGTAAAGCCTACCATTTGACCCACCACTGCACAGGCGACCGAGGGCGTGGGAGTCGGCAGTCGGTCGCTTGACGAGACCTCTCTGCGGAGTCGGCGACGCTCTCTCTCTCTGCTGCTGCTTCTTGTAGAGTACTTGACTCGTCCGCAAGCTGATACACTCCAGATCGGACGCATGCTCTCAGTAGGTCGTGGGCCTCGGCCTTTTCCTTGGTGAGGGCGTCGGCTACCATCAAGGACGTGGGACCCCACCTCAAAGTGCCTCCAAATCTCTGAAGGGCTTGTCGGGCAATCATGAGCTCCACAGCACATCGTCGGTCCTCAAGAGCCCCTGGGGAACCGATCTTATTGATATGGTCATAAGCCGATTTTGCATCTATAATCGCAACAGCCTCGAAAGATTTCAAGAACTCATACCTCGTCTCCAGAGTGAACTGTGGAAACATACACCCCGCAAAGAAACACATTACCCATTCCAGATGCCCCAGACCGTCGACCAGTGCAGAGGCCTCTCCACCCAGAGACGATCGTATTGCCCGTTTGAGTCGGTAGCTCCGCCAGATCATAGGATTCCATGGTGATACCTCCCCCCGTTGCATACCCGGTGTCGTCACACTCAGCACATATCCCCCTTGGGTCTTCTTGAGACCATCGTTTTCACCCCTGGCAAAGTCGGTATGGATCATCATCCTGAGGTCCTCGAGTGGGATCGCAAAATATCGTATCGTAAGATCCTTATGTTGACGAGCACGGCGCACGAGCATGTTGGCATCTTTTATCTCCTTCACCGTCGGATTCGGCAACAGCTGCTGGTTCTTGCTCACCTGGCAAGAAAGATCAGGCCTAGTTTGACCTGCCAGCCAATTGCCAGCCTGGTTCATCGAGATCAGCGCAGACTTCTCCTTGGGCAACGCCTTGCTTTCATTTTCGGCACATCGTTTCACCCTGACTGGTTTCATCGTTTCAGCATAGGCCTTTTGTGACTGCATGATAGTTCCGTCCGAAAGATGTTGTAACCAAGACCCCGTAAACTCACCAGACACAATCCTCCATTTCCTCCAGGGAAACCGTCGTTTGAGTTTAGCCATGGCACTCTCCCACCTGTCACGTCGCCCTCCTCCTACCGTGTCGTCCACATGTATCCCCATCAGCCCACACAAGGCACCTGGAGGTCCTCGAGCAGATCCAATCGGCACACACTGAGGTGTCGAAGGTACTGGCTGTCCAGCCCGCACCGGCTCAAACATAATAAACAGACACGGATCAAGAGGATGGGCCACGAAGCCGATCTCCTCAGCATACCGCTTAAAAGTCGAGAACCACCGCTGCGGCTGGTCCACACCGCCGTAGCCGTTCACAAGTTCGTACAGCTGGTCCGGGTGATGGCCCTTTGGCGTGTGCTCCCTGGGTGCTTTCACGAATATCGGCCCATTGGGCCTCTCCGCAGGATCAGCTTCCAGAAGCGCTCCTCGGATGTCTCCCAGGACCAGTTGAAACCGAGCCGAAGCCACCAGCTGTAGGACAGTCGCCTTCCCTGTTGCTGAGAGTGTCGGACTTTGGGTCTTGCCAGCTCGGACCATCTCCAGCACGTCTGGATCCTTAAAACCTTGCACCGTCAGCCTGCATCGCAATTCCGTGTCCCGTCATCCTCCGTTTTGAGGGTCGGCACCGGGCGCGATGGCAAAATGCGGTCCGGGACCTCCAGGAGAAGACGACGAGACTCCTCCACCGAACGAGCTTTCCAGGCCTTCTGATCGACGATCAATTTCTGGAACTCCTTCTGATATGCCTCCTCCACCTGACGTCGTCCCTCCTCAGTCTGCCACCTTGAATCCTTCTCACGCTCCTCATTCCTCCCTCTGGCAAGTAGCACGTCAGTGTCCGTTACTGCCAAGATCGGGGCCTCTTCGTCCCCGTCACACGTGACCGCTCCACAGTCGAACAGAGGCGTTGGATCCGCCTCGGGGTTGGAAGACCGAGATGGATGAGGTGGTAGAGAGCTGGAGTCGGACAGTCCTGGAGGCTCTTCTAGGCGGGGCTGCTTGTGCGGCTGAGGGTCAGCCGGGTCATCGGCGCTCCTAGTCAGCTCTTCCTTCTTTGGGCCCGTCTTCGATCCGAAAGGTACCCGTCGGGACCCCGTCGGGTGGTCAGGACTCCCCGTCGGCACAGCGCATGGATAAGAGGACCATCTGGAGTCGGGGTGCGGGAACCTGGACGAGGGAGCTCCTGGAGTTGGTCCGGCCGATGACGTGTTTGGCGGCGGTGTTGGTGGCGGTGTCGGGTCGATCGATATCGAAGGTGCCGGAGTCGGGATCCCATCCCCTGGACCTGGAACCGCCCAACTTGAATCATCTACTTCTGCTTCTGGGGGACCTTCTGGAGGCTTGGGGCCCCTCGTGATGTCGTCAAAATATCTCCCAGACAAATTATCCAGGTCAACCGCCGTCGTCCGTAATTCAGCCTCCACCAACCTCCATGCCGTACGTTCCTCCCTCGTAGCCTCCCTCATCTGTTCCGGGGGCGCTTTCACAAGGCTTCCAGGAAGAGCAACCCAGTAATTTCCCATGACAGGCCCAACACAGATTCCTGGTCGCCACCTGTACGATGACGTCTTTCCGGCTATTGCACCCTTGACCTTGCGCCACACAGCTACCATATCTCCAGCCTGAAAAACACGATGCACCCGCGGACGGCAGTCGAGGGCAACACGAGCTGCCTTCTTCTCGTTGTGCGCCAATATCACCCGTCGGGCCATGGCGCGAATACTGGCAGCCCTCGCTGCCACAGAATCGTGCAACACACAGCTGTTAGCAACCAGGTTCGGGTTCTCTTGAAGTAAATCTTCTGGGGCCTCCGGGTTCCTGCCGAAAACAATCTGACACGGGGAAACACCTTCCACACTTAACACCGAGTTCTTGGCCTCCTGGAGCTGCGCTACACATTCCAACCATTCACCTTCATCCTGGGGCTGAATCTCATCAATCATCACCTGCAACCACTGTTCAAACCACTTACCGTGTACCTCCACTTTCCCGTTCTGCTCCTTTGCCATACCTGCAGTATCCACCAGAATCGCCCCATCCCGGTCCATGGCATCTTGAAAATCTCCCGACACATGTGCACTAGCAGCATCTACCTTCAGCCACGTGGGCCTCATGCACGGTCGGGTCCAGTTGTCCCGGTACGTGCGAAGCAGAACTTGGGACGACTCCGTCTCTCCGACCTTCAGCGGAGCCATCAAATGAAGAGATGATGCATCGCAGATGATGTTGAGACACTTCCGTTTTTCCCCTGGGATGTAGTAGGGCAGTTCCTTCACATCCATCGCCACCGATTTCAACGGAGGCTGAAGTGTGGGAGGGGCGCTGTACCTCGCGATACCGGGCTGTCGGCGTGATGCACAGTCGTCGCAATGGAAATTCGCTGCCTGTCGTAACGCCTCGGTACTCGCATTCGCATGTCGTAGGTGTCGTAACATCGTCGCAGTCGTTGCATGACCCAGATTCACATGGAGCCGTCGTAAGGCCGCCCCAAAACTTTGCGGTCGCCTGGGACATACCTCATCATCGTCTCCTCGATCCACATCGACAGCACAGGCCCCCACCTCCTCTCCCCCATCACAGATCACACAGGCCCTCGAAAGTCCCTGGAGAATTCGTTTCACCAGCTTTGTCGGGTAGATCTGAGTCCATCGGGGAAGAGAGATACCCAGTCCTGGCAGAGGGCTCCCACCCTCGGCCCTCACATGGGCATGGTCACCGTAGCATCGGAGAGACAGCTCAGCTGCCACCTCTGGTGACGATGTCACGAATTCCCAGCGCTTGCTCAGGAGAGCTCCTGAAATGGGGTGCCGAAGGCCCACGCGACAACCACTCGTCACACCCACATGGACCCTAGGATCCTGGAGTAACCGTTTCATAGCTCGTAGCCCATATGTCGCCGCAGTCGGAGGTGCCTCAAAGATGAAGTGCCTATCGTTGGAGAGCTGGTGTTCGGCAATCCGGATACACTCCACCACAAAACGCTTTGCTTCCAGGAGTTCCCGAAGGTGCCGTTTCAGATCTCGCCGTTTTTCATCTGGGGTTAGATTCTGAAGAGCCGTGAGTTTCTCGCAGGGAGGTGACATGATAACACAGAAAGGCTCTTCCTTTTGAATCCTATCCCACAGCTCCTGCACGTCCTGGGGCTGGCGAGCGCCCCAGCCCGAGACCTTGTCGAACGACCCGAGGTCGCGCACCCCGTAGTCGGGCGCATGCGGGCACACCCGCGGGGGCGAGAAGATCTCCATCACCCCGGGCACCTGGTTCTTCACGGCGAGGACCTGGACGCTGATGTCCTCGCTGGCCTGAGGGCGCCGACCCGGCCCTACTGAAAAGGCGTCGGCAGGTCGTCGATCCTCAGCATCGTCTCATCCACTGAAGTGTCCGGCTTCGGGTTGTCCTCAAACTCGCGCCCGAGCAGATCCACTTCGTAGCGCCCACTACATTCCGCTTCGCGAACAGGCACTGACGTGTCCAGCCGGCCAAGCCACAGTCGATTCTTGCTCATGTCCAAGTTCGCCTGGAGCATCTTCATCACTTGCTTGCTGATCAGGAGTCCGGCCTTGCCCTCGATCACGTAGACCAGGATCTTCACCCGCTTCTTGGCCGCAGGGATGTGCCACTGGATCCAGCACGCCTCCTGACACCTCCTGAGCTTCCCGTCGTAGCTCTTGAATCTGACGCTCGGTACATCCTCTTCCCACTCCGGCTTCAGGCCCGTCTCCTTCTCGTACTCCTCGAGAGTCTCCGAACCGATCAGGGCCATGCCACAACCGGAGTCCAGGGCGCCACAGCCTGGAGCGTGACACGCGCACGCCTCGACGGTGTCCTCATCTCCGTCAGCCTCGTCGATCTCGTCCGCATCGGCGTCCTGCTCCGTCTCGCGCCTCTCGTGCGCCAGCCGTCTGAACCTCTCCTCGTTCGTCAGCTTGGTGATGAGGTTCGGCTGCTTGTCTCTCGACCATGAGGCGATCAGCACGTCGATCTCAGACCATGCACACTCGTCATCTTCATGTGCCATCGTCGGCTGAGTCACCATCACCTGAACCGCCGCTTCCTGTCGTACTGCTCGCTGTCCCTGATTGAAGGATCTCTGCATGAAACGCTTCTGGCCACCCTGTTGTGATCGGTGTCGTTTCGGACACTCCCGGCTGAAGTGGCCGATCTCTTTGCACAGGAAGCAGCGGACCTTATCCTTCAATCGCTTTAGCCCCACTGCATCGCGTCCGGGTAGTCCCCGTTGTAGTTTCTCCTTGGTCATTGCAGTCCTCGTCTCCTTCCACGTAGCCAGTATGTCGATCGCGTCCTCCTCGTCAATGGGATCTTCCTCCCCAAGCAGCTCATTTATCTCGGCCTCAACGTCATCCTCCTCGATCGTCGATGTCGCCTCCGCTGCCGAGGCCGTGGGTGCGGTGGCGGACCTGTCCTCCCAGGCGTTCACCTCGTGGACCTGGGACGTCGGCATCTGCTTGGGGTAGGCGGTCCGGATGGCGGCCGACATCTCGGAGAAGCCCCACTGGCGCTGACTGGCCGCCAGCACGACCGCTCTCCGCTCTATGCCGAGCCGGGCCCCCTTCAAGAGCAGGAACCCCTGGGCCACCGAAGGGAGCTCCACCCCCTCCATCCTCGCCTTGGCGAAGATCGTTCTCGCTCTTCCCGTGCACGCCGAGGATGTCTCGCCCCGCTCGATGGCCAGCCCGAAGACACTCTCCAGGCCGTCGCCGATCCTGTCGCTGGCCTCTTTGTCGGGGAAGCGCTCTTCCAGGGCCTGGAAGATCAGATCGGCGCCTCCTTCCTTCTCGATGTCCGCGAGCTCCAAGTGCTCGCAGGCTCTCTCTGCTTCGTCGTCGAGCAGAGTCAGCACCAGCGGGCCCAGAGCCTCCTTCGCCAAGCCTCTGCTCGTCTCCACGGCCAGCTTGGCGCCGATCCAGCGCCGCCAGCTCTTGTACTCCAGCGCCGCGTCGCAGAGCCTCCGGAGGGAGACGTCGCCACTGACCTGCACCACCACTCGCAGAGCCTCCGTCTGCCATGTCCCCGCTGGAGGACTCGACGTTGGCTCAAGACCAATGCAGATTCTAAACCTCAGAATCGTTCAAAATACAAGTACGTCCTAGTACTTCTCCCTCTCGCAATTCTCCTGACCGATCTTCCCCTGGAGCCTGCTCGTTTATCTATCGCGCGGCCCCGCGCGCAACCTCGCAAGCTCGAACCAGATTGGTCTATGGACGGGCCGAGGCAGCAACAGGCAAGAAACAGCACTGCGATTCACACCTCCTCCTCCTCCTCCTCCTCCACCTCCTCCTCCTCTCACTTCTTCATCCGCATATTCCGTTTCCTCACCTCTTCCCTTCTACAGCTCTTCCTTCTCCTCCTCCTCATCCTCCTCCTCCTCCTCCTCTTCCTCCTCCTGTTCCTCCTCTTCCTCCACCTGCTCCTCCTCCTCCGACTCCTCCTCCTCCTCATCCCCCTCCCTCTCCTCCTCCTCCTTCTCCTCCTCCTCATCATCCTTCTCATCATCATCATCATCATCATCATCATCATCATCATCATCATCATCATCATCATCAGCAGCAGCAGCAGCAGCAGCAGCAGCTGCATCATCACCATCATCATCAGCAGCATCAGCATCAGCATCAGCAGCATCATCATCATCATCAGCAGAATCATCATCACTGTCATCAGCATCATCAGCATCATCAGCATCATAATTATCAGCATCATCAGCAGCATCATCAGCATCAACCTCATCATCAGCATCCTAATCACCATCATCATCACGATCATCATCGTCGTCGTCGTCATCAGCATCCGCATCAACGACATCATCCGCAGTAACACCATCATCATGTTCATCACCATCATCATCATCATCATCATCAGCATCATCATCATGACCAGCATCCTCATCATCGTCATGATCGCGATCATCATCAGCGTCAGCGTGACCAGCATCTTCACCAACATCAACATAATAATCATCATCATACCCATCCTCATCATCATCATCCTCATCATCATCATCATCATCAGCAGCACCACTCTCATCAGCATCACCATTATCACCATCATCACCAACGGCATCATCATTAATCATCATCAGCAGCATCATCGTCGTCAGCATCGGCGTCGTCATCATCATTGGCATCGACATCGTCATCATCAGCATCATCAGCAGCATTATCATCACCACCATCATCATCATCGTCGCCATCATCATCAACATCATCATCATCGTCATCATCATCATCAGCATCATCATCGTCATCGTCACCATCATCATCACCACCACCACCATCATCATCATCATCAGCATCATCATCATCAACATCAGCATCGCCATCATCATCGTCGTCGGCATCGGCATCGTCATCGTCATTGTCATCATCAGTGTCATCGGCATCGTCATCATCAGCATCATCAGCATCGTCATCATCATCAGTGGCAGCAGCACCTTTATCAGCAGTACCACAATCGTCGTTTTCGTCAGCAGCAGCCTCACCATAATCACAATCATCACCATCATCAGCAACAGCATCATCTGCAAAAGCATCATCGCCGTCGTCAGTATCAGCATCATCATTCGCATCATCATCATCATCATCATCATCATCAGCATCATAAGCAACGTCGTCATCATCACCATCATCATCAACAACATCACCATCATCGCCTTGTATTATCATCATCAGTATCATCACCGCCATCACCATAATCGTCGTCATCATCAGCAGAGGCAGCAGTAGCGGCAGCATACTCCTCCTTTTCCTCCTCCTCCTCCTCCTCCTCCTCCTCCTCCTCCTCCTCCTCCTCCTCCTCCTCCTCCTCCTCCTCCTCCTCCCCACGGCGAAGCTCACCCGCCTCTGCAGCGGCGCGGAAGCGACGGCCTTCGCCTGGGGAGCCCCAGCGCCCACCCCCAAAGGTCCATCCGTTCCTCCCGCGCGGGCTGGGGGAGGCGAGGATGGTGGATGGTCCTGCTTCCCAACTGGGATCCGACTACGTAGATAGGGTCGGGGGATCGCGCCGCATAGTCGATGCATTGCCGATGCATCGGTGATGCATCGGCGACGTCGGCGATGCATCAGCCACTTGGGGTTCAAGAGGGCTCCAAGAAGACGAAACCCTCAGGATGTTTAAGGTTTAAACGTTCTCGCCTGCTGGGAATGCCGACGCTCCAAGACGGCCACATAAGCTCCAAGATCACCCCAAGACGGCCCAAGAGGCCCCCAAAAAGACCGCAAGACACCCCAAGAAGGCCCCTAACACGGCCCACGAGTGCCCCACGACGACCCCGAAACGGCCCGATAGACATCCAAGACGGCCCTAAAGCGCCGCAAGGAGAAACCCAAGATTGCCCAGAGAGAGCCCCAAGACAGCATCCGAAGGCTAAAAGGTCCCTTGGAGCATTACGAAGCCTCCAAAAAGCCCCGAAAATCCCCCCAAGAGGGCCCAGAAGGCCCCTGGAGGCCCCCCAGGGGCCCCTTCAGAGGTCCATGAGAGACCACCCAGGAGGCCCCAAGAGGGCCTCGAGAGGCCACCTCTTCTTACTTATCTTTCTCCTCCTCCTCCTCCTCCTCCTTCTTCTATTCCTATGTCATCCATTTTCCTTGTGAAAGGATCCTCCCTGTCGCACCCCGAGACGTTTCAGTAGGGCGGGCTGCGATCCTGAAGCTTAATATGTGCAACAGTTTCAAACATGTAAGGCTTGTCGTTTTCAAAATGTGGTTTCCGCCTAAGCACCGCGCTCATTCGTCTGAAAGCTTTGCGACCGCTTCACCGATGAAGGGCGGGCGGTTCTCAAAATGTAGCTCTCGCCGTAGCGACGCGAACATTCGTCTTAAGAGTTCGCAAGGGCTTCACGCATGGAAGGCGGGTGGTTTCCAAAATGTGGATCTCGACTTAGAGCCGCGCACATTCGTCTCAAAAGTAATCAGCAATTTCAAAGACTGAAGGTGATTGATTATCAAACTGAGGCTCTCGCCTTTAAGCCGTGCATTTCCGTCTTCAAAGGTTACAGCGATTTCCAAGGATCTTGCGGTGGACGTCCCAGAAATATTGTTTTGGCACGGTTTAGGACTGTCAGGGCGCAACAGTCACGTTGACTCAAGGTGTTGAAACCCCAGGAGTGGTGTTCCGGAACGGTTCAGGATGGCCAGGACGCAACTGTAACGTCGATTCGCGGCGTTGAAATCCCAGGAATGGTGTTCTGGCACGGTTGAGGATTTTGACACGGTTGTCTTCCAACGGGGTACTTACAGGGACCTGTGAAGAGAGAACGTGGAGGGAGGGTGTATTGCAGCATCGCTCGCGCGCCTGGGGCTTACATTGGCTATCCTCCTCCTTCTCATCCTCACCCTCCTCAACCTCCTTGTCCTCCTTCTCCACCCTCGAATGCTCATTCCTCTTCGACTCCCAGATGTTCCCCCAAGGGTTGCCACAACTGCTGGGAAACACGCATCGTCGAATAGCTTGGCCAGACTTCGGCCCAAAATTTGGCATTGGGCCGCACAGGCGTTTCCAAAAGGCAAGGGGCGGCGGTGGTTCGCTCCTACGCGGTCCCATGTGGCTTGGCCATACACCGCCCCCTGTGTTTATCAGAGGGGTGCACTGCGTGCTGAACTTTATCTGTTGGCTGGTTTCAACCTCCGCTAAATGATCCAATGGGCCTGGGCCGATAAAGCCAGCCACACAGAAAGACCCGGGCGAGACGTCTCCGTCTCCCCACGGCCATCCTGCCTAAGATGACCTCGAGGTGCCCTCCAAGATGGCCAAGATACCCTTCAGGTTGGCCCAATGTGGCCCAAGATGGCCTAAAAGACGACCCAAGAGGGTCCAAGAGGCCTCCAAGTCGGCCAAGTATGACTCCAAGACGGCCCAAGTTGCGCTCCAGACGGCCCAAGAGCCCTACAAGACGCAAGAGGGCATCCGGAAGGCCAAAATGATCGATTGTCCTTAGATGTTTCCATAGTTTTCGCGGTCTCACCACGCCGGGCTTCCGGCATCCAAAGACGGCCCCAGAGGACTCCAAGATGAGCCCCCCATGAGGACCCCAAGACAGGCCACGAGGGGCCCAAGACGGGCCCCAAAACGGCCCCACCCCCAGAGGCCCCAAGACGACCCCAGAGACCTCCAAGACAGCCCTAGAGCGCCTAGATGGGCCCCCGAGACGCCCTCCGAAATCCGAGCCCCCCCCTTTCATGAGGCCTCCTAGAGGTCCACAAGAGGCCCCACAAGGTCTTCAGAGGCCCCCAAAAAGCCCAAAGGAGGCCCCAGGAGGCCTCCTTCTTCCTTCTGCACCTCCTCCTTGTCCTCCTTCCTCTCCTCACCCTCCCTCCTCCCACAAGCATTTCCCAGAGGGCTTCCACAACAGCCGTGGCAGCACATGATCCACGAGCATGGCAAGACGTCGGCCCAACGTTTGGCCGCACGGCGCGTTTCCAGAACGGCAGGCGGACGGCGGTGGTTCGCCACACGGTCGTGGGGAGCTTGTGCTCCGCATGCCACGGCGGACAAAGCGCCGTTCCGCTCATCGGGGCGGAAGGCTGGGAAAGGCTCAGGACGCTGGCGCTTGGGAAGTGGGGGCGTGGATAGCACGCTGCGCCGAAGCGTGGTGGGCCAGACTCGGCGGACAGAGTTCCTGACCGCGGGTGCCTTCGATACTTTCCCTCTCCCCACTCCTCCAGCCGACCTGGCGGCTTCGGACGCCCAGTCGCCGCGCCCCTGGCGGATGCCCCCGCGCCGCCGCCTGCACGGATGGCGGGGAGGGGGCTGGCGATCTCCCACGACGCGGGGATCGAGCGGGCGTGGTGGGAAGCATTGGTGCCGCGTTCGCAAGGGGACGAAGGATCACCACAACCGCCAGAGGATGTAGGAAGGAGGGAGCAGAGAGGAGACAAGAGAGAGGAGGCGAGGAGGCAGGAGAGATTAAGGATTAAGACGCTTAGGGGAGTGGTATCCACGTATGGAACCTTCGAATACCCCTGCAAGGTGCATCTGGATGAAGGTCCTGCTCTGAGCAGGCCTGAGGCAGGAGGAGGAAGAGGAACAGGAGGAGCGCACCGTGCCTTAGCGCAGCAGGTCCGTGCTGGGCGCCTAGGCAGCGGCAGCGGCGGCCGCGGGCCCGCGGCGCGGGAGGCGCAGGCTCCTGCCAGAAGCCTTGTTGTATTCGATGAGCTCGTCGAAGACGATGTCTTCGACATCGTAGTGCTTGACAGAGTGGTACATCGTGTATGAGGGCAACAAGGTACTCGGAGAAGCGGTCGTGGTCAGGGGGTCGCAGCCCTAACCTATCAAGACGATGGACAGAAAGATCTGCCACTGGAACATGGAGAGCGAGCCGAAGGGCACGCCAAAGAAGTGGGCATACAATCCAGCGTTTGAGGCGACGCGTCTCATTCACACAACCCAAAATGCACCCACGTCTGCCTCTATTTCCAAGAATCCGCCACGAGGTCATCCAAGCATTGTCCCTGCTTCACAGAATAGGTCTGGACCAGGATGGACGCAGGCGAAAAAGACGAACTTTCACAACATCCCAATCAATGCCATCAATCAGCTGATCATGTTGCGGCCACCACTTACGGAATCGACTAGCGGTCGTTGCAGGGATCGCGAAGGGCGAAGACATTGCGCGCCCAAGCGCCAGGTTGATGGCCCGCTGCCACTTGAACATCCGGGGGCCGATCAAAATGCGGAAGGTCGGGCGCCTGGCGAAGCTCTGCATCGACCAAGAGCTGCCCAACAGCATCACGCCCATCGGCAATACAGGGCATTTCGAGCAGGAGCGCACCGCACGCAGTCTGCCCGCGAAGCTGGGCACTGTCCAAAACCAAGGAGACAGCTTAGCCACGTTGCCATCACTCAAAAGCCTCACAACAGGAATAAAGGAAGTTGGTCAGAAGCTTCGGACGCGAACTGGTTCAACCCATTCCTCAATTGCAACCCGAGCAGCTCTGATGAGAGCCGCAGCCGCCGCAGAAGACCGCGCAGCAATGCGAGGGCCCCCCCCGCCCGCAAAGCCTCGAGACTTGCGCCGGCTGCACTGCGCCACAGGGGGGCCGCGGCGTCGAAGCCAGGACACCCAGCTCACGACGACGAAGATCAGCAGGAAGCGGCTCCAACCGCGCAACATAGGAAAGCCAAGGACTACACCGCGCAGAGTAATGAAAAGCCAGAAAAGAGGCAGGAGCAGCGCCGCAGCCGAGAGCCAGCCCACGAGAGATAACCTTCTGAACAGGCTTACGAAATCGAAGGTGATCATCAGCGGCGGGCCCGAGCCATAGCCCCAGATACTTGCGAACCACAACTGCTTGAAAGTCGTGCCGCGCAGGAACATCAGCTGCCAGACATCGCTTGATCTCCAGCATCAGGCGGTCCGAGAACGCATCCGAGAGAGGGGTACTTTTGCATTGCGATGGCTTGAAACGCAGCGTAGCCACCCGCTCAGCAATGCTGGGGACACGCCAGACAACCTTCAGAAACATAATGGATTTCAGAGCTCTGCCAATACCATCAGCGCGCCAGCGCGCCGCGCCACGGCTCGCCACCAAGATCCGGCGCAAATGGGGTTGTCACAATCGCGAAGGAAGCGCCGGACATCGGGCGCCCTTGCACAATCCCAACAGAATGAACAAAACCAAGTTCCCAGCGGCTGCGTGCAATCACGCAACCAAGCACGGGCTAGCAGCTCACCTCCAGACAGGAAAGGAGAAGGGCAGGCAGCAGAAGTCGCCTCAGCACATCAAGCATGAGACCCTGCGCCAGCGACGGGATTGCTCGGGCAACATCCAGCGAGAACAGCACAGGCTGCCATCCGAGGCCAACTCCAAGGAACTGCGCGAGCGAGCCGCCACATCCAATTCAAGAACGTCGGTCATGAAGGAGCGCCTCGCCACTCATCCTCTCCGGGCCCATGGAGCCACTCTGCGCGCGACCTTCTCGAGCGAGAAACGGACGGCCGAGATCTCCCCATCTGCGTCGCGGGGCCCCAGGGCGCGCGGCCTCGAGATTTGCGCAGGCAGCTTCCAGGAGTCGAGTCGGACGAACTGGGAACCTTCGGCGCGAAGACCTGCCACGCGTCAGTCGAGCTCGCCAGGAGGCCATCGAGCCACCAAAGAATAGCATCACATAGAATCCGAGCCCCCCGCCCGCGCGCCTGCCAAGCTGCACAACGCGGCCCAGCGACGCCAGGCGCCGCGGGGGGGGGCACGCCGAGGAACGCGCCGATCATCTCGCAGAGTGGGAGGCCGCCGGTCTCGATGGTCGCGCGGAGGAACGAGGCGTTCAACATGCCGCTCGGGGGTAGTAGACTCGCGAGGCTTCGCCATGAAAACAAGGGCCCAACACTGAATCTTCGCGCGATGCATCTCGAGAGCGCCCGATACGATAGCGGCGTCATCACGGATAATGGCGCGAACGTAGAGAGTCTTACCGTTCGGAAACCAGATCGTCATCTTGCGCAAAGTTGCCTTCAACTGACCGCGTAATTGAGCGCGCCGGCGGTTGCGCCGTTGATCATCAAGTCGAGCTTGAATAAGAGATGGGATGCCGCTGAGGGTCACGCTCAGCTTTGGGCATGGTGAAGAAGGTCACGGCAAAGCGGTCGCTAACCTTGCGCGCATATACCTTCTCAGAAACATTAAAGGATTGCAGATTGTAAGCAACGTTGGCGTAGCATCCATCCAGGCAGCGCGACACGGTTTCCGTCAGTCAGAAAGATAGCATCCGTAGCCACAGAGCAGTAAGTGCCATAAAATGCCGAATCTCAAGAAGCCCATCGCCATAAGCTGCGCACGCGCACGGAGATGCCCAGACGGCGCAGCACCCTGGGGGAGATGAAATGGTAAGTCATCGACTGGAGCAAAGTTGAAGTCACCCACCACATCTAAGAAGAGCTTGCGAGGACGCTGGGCAACCGCTCGACGATCTTGATTCAGTTCGCGCGCGACGAGTCTGGTCTGCGCTGCATTCAACCGATGACTGCGAATGTTGCAGTGGATGAGTGCCACGTGCTCGAAGACCAGGCAGAGGCGAAGGACGCGCCCAAGAATGAGTGGGTCTCGTTGCGAAGACGGAGGCCACCTCACACCATGAGGGAGAACAGTCGCAACACCACCACGACGTGATCCAGCACTGCCCTGGACAAAGGAGGACTGCACCACAACACCAGGAGAGACCAACTGAAGAAACCGGCACGGTTCATTATGACTGCCATGGACTTGTTGAAGTGCAACAAGTGACCGATCAGGACGAAGAGACCGAAGAAAGGTTGCTTTGAGATTGGCTTCTCGCACTCTTGTACTGCAGTAGCGCTCTGGCGCTCCATGTCGAGAAGGATGGACTGACCCAGGGGCCCTTGAAATCACCAGGCCACGACGCCTCAGTTAACGGCTTAAAATAAGCACCAATCTGCCTCCACTCGGCCTCCAGATACCACAGGTTGTAGAAGGTCCACCATCTCGCGCTGGTTGTACTTCGTACTGTCAAGAAAAATCCCTGTTGAAGATAAGCTGCGCGGGCGCTCGTTGCGGCTGCGGAACCACTCGAAAAACATCCGTCCAAATGCGGGAGACCACACCGCGCTCCCGATCGAAGAACCAAGTGCCGCCATACAATCGGACTCGATTGGACAGGACACGCGAGAAGACACAAGACACTTCCGAGGGCCAGATTGCCACGGGATTGTAGGAAGCATGGGTCGCGAGACACGGGACACAAGGGCACCCTTGATTTGGCAGAGTCGATCTACTAATCTGGGCCGACTGCACTCCTCCATGAGCTCATGCTGAAATTTGTTGGCAATAACTTCGGTAGCAAGCTGTTTGGGTGATTTGTCTGGGCCCCGATGAAGCCAGCTAGAGGCGCCCGTCGGAAGAGGAACGTGAAGTTGGCGCCATTCTCCGTCTTTGCGAAGACTGCCAAAACCTAGGCGACCAAATGGGATGCAGGGACCAGCGCACCTTGGAAGGAGATGTCAAAATGCAGTCCAACAAAATCCCCCTTGAAGTGAGATTCATCAGCTGAGATGCCAATCTCTTTGAGGAAAAGAGTCCATAGCATCGCGGACTCGAGGGTCAGGGGCAGGTCCTGACACATATACTCGAATGAGCCTCCGGTCGATGTCGCGATCGAAACCAGTCTGCGTGAGAACAACCACCTTAGAATCCTCGCTAGCGCTCGCCAGCTCGCCCTTGAGCAACCTGATGTCACGCTGGAACGATTTGATAGCAGCCATGTGTTCATCAAGCGTCGTCGTATGTTCACGTCCTCGAAGCGTAAGCTTATCCAATCGACACTGGTACTTCTTGAATTGCTCAGCAACTGTCGCCTGTGCTTTGGCCAAGATGGGTTTCTCGACCAATCCAGGAACAGCCTGAAGACCGTCACGGGCAGAATCGAACTTCGCCATGGCAGGGGCAAGGGCGTCGGATAGAGTGGTGGCGACCCGCTCCTCCATGTCGGAGGCGATGCTGGCAGAGAGGGGCTCGAGTCAAGCTGCAGCAACCTCTGCGGACACGTACCGCTGAACTTCGGCCAGGAGTTCTTTCTGCTCATGGCAGTTGGGGCCAACATGCATGCCAACGTGCAGAGCATCACCAGCAGGTGCAGCACGACCACCAGCAGCGGCCGACGCCTCAGCACGAGGGGTGCCTGAAGCCGACTCGGATGGCTCCCTGGAGGCCAGGCGCTTCTGCGTCTTGTCCCGCTTGTCATCCTTCTTCTCCTTGTTCGGCGTCTTCGCCTGACCACGCTCAAGCACTCAAGCGTGAGGCGGCCCCGCGCGGAACCGAGGGCTGGGGGAGCGCTGGCGCTCGCGGTGGTATGGAAGGGAGCCTACCCCGTCGAGGCACTGAAGTGGATGAATTCTGGCCTTGAGCCAAAACGGCCACGGAGGAGGAGACGAAGGGCGCAGAGGGGTGCCATGTGTCGTGGACAACGCGGTGTGTACCTTCCGCGCGGGGCATACCCGCGCACCTGCACCCCACGGGTGTGCGCCTGCGCTTCTCCCCGTTCCTGGGGCTACCTGGCACCCCGGTGCCCCGGGGTCGTCCTGGGCGATCTCGGGGGATATCGCAAGGCCCTGTCTCTTCCCCAGCTCTCCCCTCCTTTTCTCTTTCTCTCTCTCTCTCTCTCACCCTCTCTCTCTCTCTCTCTCTTTTTCGATGTCTCTCCCTCTCCCCCTTCGCCCCTCTCCCCCTCCCTCCTCCCCGCTCTCCCCCGTGGGCGAACCAAGATCGACGTCGACAAGCTCCCGCGACATCTTGGTCATGGACATTGTGCTTCTCCCCTCGAGAGGACGGGACACAGAGAGCGGCGGAGAAGCCCCGGGCAGCCGCCTCTGCCCTGGACGCCCAGAAGCGACACGTCGTCGCGGCCCCCGCCGCCCCCAGAGCTGGCCGCCAGCAGCGCGGGCGCCGTGGCTGACGCTGTGGCGGGGGAGGGGGGGAGCGCAACGGGAAGGAGCCTTTTTTTTCACCGCAAGCACGCCAACTGCAGCTGGCATTCATGAGCTACTCCAGGATACCGTGGCTGAAGGAGCCCTGGGACACACAAATAAATACACACACACACAAATAACAGGATTTCCAGTATTTTCCTATATTTTCTGGGTTTCTGTCTTCCCCCCCACTTCCCATATTTCCTATATTTTCTGGGGAATCGAGGATTAATTCTGTCTGTGTGTTTTTGCCCTCCTGACTGTCGTCCGAGCCTCAGACAAAAAAACTGTCGCCCTGAGGATGTAGCATAGGGGGATAGGGTCCTGAAGGAAACCGGTCCTGGACCCTGAGAGACCTTTTCTCGGGACGAGATCTTCATCCTCAGCCGTTTTCTCACAGTCCTGGGACCCGTGGAGGGCCCCGAAGGCCCGAAGAAGCCGACGAAACGCAGGACCCGCTTCCCGCAGGACCCGCTTCCAGACACACGGCCGCTCCCATTCTTTCGATGCCTGGGCCCCCGGCTGCCCGGAGGTCTGCACCACTTCCCTGGGGCCGGCCTCTCGTCCTGAGTCGTCTCTCGACGGTCCCCGGTGGGCCGGCGAGGGCCCCCCGGGGGCCGACCACGCTCAGAGGCCGGCTGCGGCCCAGGGGGCCCGGGCAGCGAAGGCTCGGAGCGGCCACAGCACGGCCGAGGGGGGGAGCGACCGCCCTGGCCCACGGGAGGGAGCGCGAGCGCCCCGGCAGGGCAAGGGCGGGGAGCAGGAGCGAGGGGGATGGGGGGAGAGGAAGGGCGGAGGCGGGAGGAGGGGAAGGGGAGAGGGAGGAGGGAGGAGGGAGGAGGGAGAGAGAGGAGAGGAGGAGGAGAGGAGGAGGAGGAGGAGGAGGAGGAGGAGGAGGGGAAGGGGAGAGGGAGGAGGGAGGGAGGGAGGGAGGGAGGGAGGGAGGGAGGGAGGGAGGGGAGGCGGGGGGAGGAGGGAGGAGGGAGGAGGGAGGAAGGGGGGGCAGGGGGGAAGGAGGGGGAGGAGAGAGGAGGGAGGAGGGGGGAGGAAGGGGGAGGGAGGAGGGGGGAGGGAGGCGGCGCCAGTCCACGGGAGCCCGCTGGATCACCGGAGTCCACGCTCTCGGGCTGGCCCCTCCGTGGCGGCGAGGACCCCAGGGCCGACCGCCGCCAGAACAGAGAACAGGGGGGCCACCTGCGAGCCCTACCCCCTGCCCCCCACGACTTCCGAGGGTTCGGGTGAGGTTCATTCCGTTCGGGAGCTCCCGAGCGAAGTGAACCCCACCCTCCCCCTCAGAAGTCCTGGGGGGGTAGGCGTAGGGTTCGCAGGTGGCCCCCCAAAAGAAGGGCGGAGGCGGCGCCTCGAAGCGCGCGGCGCCCGGAGCAAGGGGGGGGGGGGGACACGTCAGGTGCCCGCAGGCAGCGTCGGAGGGACGCACGCGATCAACGAAGCCGACTGACAGGGGGGGGGGGGGAACACTGAGGTGCCGGCGAGCGGTAGAGAGCACAGACGGCTCTGGGCCCGCCTGGCTCCTGCAGCCACGCCCGGACAGGGAGCAGCGGCGGCGGAGGCAAGAGAACCAACCAGCCACAGTCCACGGATCCCTGCTCGCAAGCCCGACGAGGTCCAGGAGTCGATGCTGCCTCTGGCAGGTGCTGAAGGCGTTCGCTGACATGCTGGAGCCCCGGGGGGCGGGGGAAAGCTCGGGATGCTCACGGTGAGCTTCGGAAGGTTCCCAGGGCACCAACCCCACCAAGCAGAACTGTCAGACGTGCTCGCCACTACGTGCAGAATGTAAGAGATTCCAGCAGGTCGAATGCGGCAGGTCGAGCAGTCAACCGTACCAGACAGCACTAGCCTGCGCGCCCCTTGCAGTGTGATATCTTGCTGTGCCGCCAGTCCCCGCTCATGACCTCTGGGCGGAGAGGATTTGAAGTCGGGAGCTGCGGCGGTCTGCTGCAACTGCTGCGGGCCGTACACAGCTAATCGTCCCGCTCATCTGATAGAAGGGAGCGCGACCTGCAAGCAGGGGGGCGGCTTGAGTTACCCAGGGCAGGAAGAAAAAAAGCATCCCAAGGGAGTCCTTCACGATGCCGTCACGAGCGCAGCCTGGCCAGCTGATCCAGGAACACTGTACGTCGGCAATTTGTCTGACCCGCCACTGCCTCCTGGCGCGTTGAGGCATGACAGAATGCCAAATGCTGTCTGGTAGGGCTTCTACTCTAGCAAAGGACCCCCCCCCTCCTCTAGCGGCGTCCCCTACCGTGCACCGCCCCCCTCCCGAGGCTTCATGGGCTGCCAGTTGCCTACCTGTCGCCCTCCAAGGCGTCAGAGATGCTCCAGATTGCTTCCAAAACTGTCCAGGCAGGCCACCAAGGCCGCCAAGTTGTTCCCAGGTGCGGTCAATACTGCCCAAGACGGCCCCAAGACGGCCCAAGATGGCCTCAGGACTGCCGAAAAGGCTTTCCAGATGGACCAAGAGGGTTCCAAGAGGACTTCCAGCGAAACCCAAAAAGGCCAGAATCACTGCGGTTCCTGAGGCGCCTGATGGAGATTCGCATTCTCGCCTTTTCGGGCTTCCGGGCGCTCAAGACGGCCCAAGAAGCCCCCAAGATAGCCTCCAGACGGCCAACGAGGGCCTCAAGAAGGCCGCAAGACGGCCCAAGACGGTTCCAAGACCCAATAGGGCCGCTGGACAACCAAGGACGTTCCCCAGGAGGGCCTCAGGCTGGCACGAGAGGGCCTCTGAAGGGACCCAAGACGGCTTAAGAGGACCCCTGGATGGCCCAAGACGGCATCAAGACGGCCCGAAGAGGCTCCCCAGACGGCCACGAGAACCCCAAGAGATCCCCCCGATGGCACAAGGAGTCCCAAGACGGCCCAAGAGGGTCCCAATGGACCCCCAAGACTACCCCACAGGAGCCCATGGCAGCGCCAAAACAGCCCAAAACGAGGTTCATGAGCGCTCCTCCATAAGTGAAAACGAAAGGAGACACAACTGACGGGTCGCATCATTTTCCTCATCGTCGTCCTCCTCATCCTCCTGCTCCTCATCTTCCTCCTCCTCCGCCTCCTCCCTCTCCTCCTCCTCTTCCTCCTCCTCCTGCTTTTTCTGTCTCCGCTATCATCATCATCATTCTCCTCGTCCTCGTCATTGTCCGTCTCCTCGCCCTCATCCTCCTCAGCAGCAGCGGCAACAGCATCAACATCAGCACCAGGCGGGAGGATCAGAAAGGCTCGGGACGTTGACGCCTGGGGACTGGGATGTGGCAAGCGTGCCGCGCCGCAGCGTGGGCAAGAACTGGCGGAACGACACACTGAGCCGAAATCCCTGACCGTCACCCAGCGGGATCGGTCGATGGGCCCCGTCGGATCGGCGGTCGGTCATCAACGATTGGCAGCGCGCGCAAGGGGGTAGGGGAGGGGGGTAGGCTTTTCAGAAGGAGGCCGCCCGCGCCTTCTAAGGAGCAGGGATGCCTCTCAGAAGCCTTCCCCCCATCCCCTTACTGCCCTCTGCGCATCGCCGAGAATGCCAGCAAAGGCCAGGGCAAGGGCTGTGCGCCCGCAGCAGGCATCGGGCAAGCCTCGATGCCGGCCGCGCGCGCGCGGGCCTGGATCGTGGGCGAAGCACACATTTGCATCAGCGGCCTCGCGGGCTGGGCACCCGGGGCCTTCTTTCGCAGATGCCCCGCGCAGAACGCAACCGTGCGGCCGGGCACCCGCGGGATCGCGCCCCGGGATCCAGACCGCGAGGGCGCGGCTACGGATGCGGCCAGACCTAGGACGGAAGAGCATCCTCCAAGAACGTGAGACCCTCCGCTGGCCAAACCACCCCAACCCATTTGATCGCCGACTCCCAGGATGCACAAGAAGATCCAACAAACACGAAGAACCTCAGGGCACCCTCCCCGAACCGACCTCGATCTTGTACCTCGGTCCGACTGTATGTTCTCCGCTCGTGACTCGATGCCAGCTGACCGCGTGCGCGCGGGACTGGAGGCAGGCGGCCAGAAGCTGCGAGCACAGGCGGAGCCCGATGAGCGCGGAGGAGGAGCGGCGCCTCCTCCTCCTCCTCGTGCTCCTCCTCCTCCTCCTCATCATCATCATCATCCTGCTCCTCGTCCTCCTCCTTTTCCTCCTCTTCATAATATTAAAAATCGCATTGTTATTGTTGTTCGCAGTGAAAATTGTTGTTCGCAGTGATAGTAATATTGTTATGCTTCTGATCACCATCATCATCATCAGCATCATCACCATTATCATCATCAGCAGCATAATCATCATAATCAGCATCATCAGCAGCATCAGCATTAGTAGCGTCCGCAGTATAAATGCTATTCTTACGATGATGGATATGAAGAATAGGGTCAGTTGTATTGCTAGTCGTATTCGTATCATGCGTAGTATCACTACCAGCTAGTCTCTGTAGCACTGCCATTAGTACTAATATTATTCCTGCTAAAAAATACTGTTATTCATGGTGGTAGTGGCATTCGCCTGATTGATAATATTACTAGCCACCGTCTCATTATTTCTACATGTTTCATACGGTTGTTACTAGTAGCGTCAATATCTACATGCTGTGTTCGTTGTCTTAGCCGTCTGTTTGTGAGTCGTAGTAGTCGTCTAATGAGCATTGTGATTACTGATATCACTCTTAGTGTGGTTACTCTCCTTTCTGTGAACATTATTACTATCATTACTCGTGTTTGATTCGTAGTAGTCCTCCCGTTGCTCGTGAGAATCCTCGATTGCAACCCGCACGCGGTCAGCGCTGTAGAGAGGCTAGAGGACATTGGCAACGAGCTGCGCCACTGGGACAGTGCTCTCCCCCCCACACACACACACGCACGCAGGACGGCACTCATTGCTACAACCGCTCCTCACTCTCGCATACAGTCGGGGCGTTGGCCTAAGGAACCCTAAATAAGGAACGAGGCCCCTTTTTTCCATAAGTTAAACTTTGATTTCCGATCAAAAACATAAGGAAAACCTGAGGCGAGCTGCGGAACACGGAGCCCCTCCCCAACGAAAAGGGTTCCTTCTTCAGGGCCCCGACTGTACCCAACAAAAGGGTAGAAGCCCATTCAAACGAAGAGAGCCCACCGTGACGGCGCGCTGCGCACAGGGACAAGTGGACAACGGAACAGGCACCACACGAGTGTGATTGGCTGCGTCGAAGTGGCAAGACAATCACTCCAGATTTCGTAATAAAGGGGAGGGGGTCTGGACCCTCCAGGACAAGCCATTTCAGACCTCCCCCGTGGGAGAACCCTCCAAAACATCGTCCCCGGACCCCCCAGGCCCTCCAAGATAGCCTGGAAGAGACCCCCCAAAAAATGAGACCCCCTCCCTTTATTACGAAATCTGGAGTACCCAAGTGGATGTGCGCCACTGGGAAAGTATACCACATAGTGGGACGCACAAGTGGGTAGCGGGACCTGAACAGCAGGACCAAACCGTGAATACAAGTTTTCACTGGGGACATACAACAAGGAGGGAAAAGAAGCAGGTGGATATCGAACGTATGTGGCACCACGATACTGATCGACAACAGAATTCCTAAGGCGGCTCTCCGAAGGATATACACACCACCGTCCAGCATTCAGGTGAGAGCGTCAGGAGTCAGACTGTACTGGGAAGGAGGGGACCTGGTCCCCTTTGTACTATACTTGACGCCCACCCACAACACGAGGTACGAGGACATCGCGAACAGATGAATGGGATGGGTAGAAGAACAATGCGACACATTGGGAGTGAGAAATACACCGATAAGAGGAGACCTCAATACGCAGTCCGCACTTCAGTCGGAAGGTATTCAGGAATTTCTGCGCCCAGAGTGGGTTATCCATTGCGACGACACACTGGGACTGCGGACCGACCTACCACAGCCCAGCTGGAGACCCAAGCAAGATAGACCACATCGCCATCCCGACCTCGGCCCTGGGAATAGTGGAAAGATACATGACGTTGAGAAGCCAGGGGAACCGACCGCAGCTCATGAAAAGCAGAGGTCTGAAAGACCACCTCCCAGTAGGTGTTGTCCTTCCTACTATAACCTCCACCAGGTCCCGACCTCCCCCAACTCGCCCCGAAGGTCCCGACAGAGAGGCGCTTATGAGGTGCCTCGGGGAAGGAGACAGGAGAGGCGAGCTGTTCGAATACTTATCCCATGAGTTAGAGGACCAGGCGAAGTGGGACGAGGCGATGAACGAAGCTACGCCCGACGCCGCTAGGGAATTGTGGGGGGAAGCGGGCAGGAAGGCCATGAGGAAGACGTTTCTGAAGAGGAAGCAGGAGGACCCAGCTGTGGAGGAGCTTAAGAGGAGGGGAAGGGAGCTGCTCAAACAGTGAAGAGAGATCAGAGAAAGGCTGGGGGAGGACGCGGAGAAAGAGGTGCACAAGGAAGTTCAGGAGGATCTGGCAACGGTGTCGGCGGTATTGAAGGCAGTGAAGGACACAGAGCAGAAGAGAAGGAAGGCAAAGATAGCGGAAGAGATCTGGTGGGATTACGATCAGAACAACCACAGCGAGATGCGGAAGCATAGGGTTCAGTACCAGAACAACCGGGGACCAACAAAAACGCTACTTCTACTCTCCACGTGCCTACCGGGACAGGGATCAGAGCACGTGCGAATCAGGTAGACACCCTCACCAGGGAGGACTGGCGGCGGAACCTATTTGCACCCAGACACTGCGAGATGACCACAGAGAGACGTACGAATACAGGCTACCGTTGGCAGAAGATGCAGAAACGAGAGCGCTGGCAGCCCAGGACTAGAGGAGCATGTTGCAGTGTTGCAGGAAAGCAAGAAAGCGAAGAGCCTTCCTTGCCTGGGGGGGTCCCAGTGGAGTTGACATGGATGGCCCTCGACCCTACAGTGCACTTGAGAGGCCCGAGCGCGCTTAGCAATCAAAGAAAGGCAGCGAGGATCAGAGCAGCAGAAGCGCGAGAGGATGAGGAGGAGTTAGAGAAGTACACTGCCCTCAAGGTAAGCGGATGCTGGAATAGATGGGCTGGACGACGGGACAGAAGCTTGGAGTGGCGGGGGGCCGTACAGCGTATCCGGGCTCAAGAGAAAGGGCGGGGCTGGCATCACGACGGGACAAGCGCGGGAATGGAGTTCGTCGGCCAGGTCAGGAGCAACAGCGACAAGATCGGAGAGGCGAAGTACGTGCTGAGGAGCGCCGAGGCGAACATCAAGCGGACGGGCACAGAGCTGGCATCGACGGCGATCGACATAAACACAGACCTCATGAAGCTGAGATCATGATCAGTCTCAGCAGGTGCAGGACGATACAGGTCAAGACGGACCAAGAAAAGCCCACCAAGGAGGAGGATTTGATGTAACTCTCGGACGAGATGGGCAACCTGACCATGTGCATCGCAGAGATGCTGAGGGTGCAGGGCCTGCTGACAACGAGGCCCGTGGGAGCTGACGCGGAGCCGCCAAGCGACAAGAGATACGACGGCATGCAGGCGGACAAGTCCACATCCAACGAGAATAGCGACGAGTATGAGAAGAAGCTCGAGCAGCAGCCGCCCTGGTGGGACCCAGGAGGACGAAGAGACGTGGATCCCGTACGGCTGGAGAGTGAAGAGGCCCGAGCTCTGCATCGACCACGAGCAGATCAGCAAGAAGAAGGAGGACGGCGGCCAGGAGCCCACAAAGGAGACGCAGAAGGTCGAGGAAGACAAGACTGCAGCGTCGGAGGAGGAGGAGACCGAACGAACGACGAATCAGAAGCGAAGAGGAGGAGAAGGAGGAGGACGACGACGACGAGAAGGAGGATGAGCAGGAGGAGGAGGAGGAAAAGGAGGGCTCCCAACTGCGCGCTTCGCGCTGCGCGAAACGCGAAGTGCGAATAACTTCGCGCTCTCGCGCCGCCTCCCAAGGGAGAAGAGGAGGATGAGGAATCGGAGCCGAACCGCGAGGCGCGAAGCGCGAATAACTTCGTGCCCTCGAGGGCGCCCTTGCCCACAGGACGTGTTCTAAGCTAAGAGACAGAGGACTAGCCTTCTACCAGCGGGTGAAGGCAGGACCGACAGCTTGGGGACAAAAAGCAGAAGGGCCAACCCAACCTACAAGTAGCAGCTCCGACCCCTGCTACGAGATGTGATTGGGAAGGTGGCTTACGGTACCGATACGGACAAGGTTATGTACGGGGGACGGGGGCATACTACAAACGGTTACGACGAGGCAGTGTACAAGGGGTCTCGACCTACCGCAACTCCCAGACAAAAAAAAATGATGGTCAGGATCCTCGAGTCTCCACTGGCTTCACTTTTGTCCCGAGGTGAGGGCCCCCCCGAACAGATCATGATGTAAGCTCTCTCTTGTCGTGTGGTGCGCGTGGTGTTCTGCTCTCTACCTCTCCCCCCTCCCCCTCCAGCAGGGCCCCAGGAGGATGCAGGCGACCTGGCAATGTGCGCGATCTTCGCGTGCGCCAGGGCGCGGCCCTCCCGCCTTCCTTGCCCCCCCCCCCCCCCTCTAGGCAGTGCTGTGACCCCCCCCCCCCTCTTGGGGGTCTTGCTCCGCCTCTGGCGATGCCAGCAACGTCCTCCTCTCTGTCCAGGAAGGCTGTCGCTTCCAAGAAGCCCCCCTGCGGCGGGGCACGCCTGCCCCACGATTCCCGAGCGGGCCAGGCGGCACCCCGGGCGGCCCTGGGGGGGTGCTGCCCCCGCCCCGCCTCTGCAGATACCCCGCTGGGGCCCGGTGTCTGCGGCAGGAGACTGCGGGATGCCCCCTTTTTATGCGCCTTTGCGTTACATCTGCCTTGCCTCCTGCTCCTGCTCCTGCTCCTGCTCCTGCTCCTCCTCCTCCTCCTCCTCCTCCTCCTCCTCCTCCTCCTCCTCCTCCTCCTCCTCCTCCTCCTCCTCCTGCCCCTCCTGCCCCTCCTGCCCTCCCACCATCCTTCCTTTCCCTCCCCCCCTCCCTGCGGAGGGCGGGCGAGCCGAGGAGCCTCTCGGCGGGGTTCGGCGCGCCGCCGCCGCCACCGCCGCCGCCGCGTGCCCCGTGATCCCGTCGGGCATCCGCAGGGCCGGCGCGTCGCCCCCGGGGGGCGCGCCTCGGCGGCCCGGCCGCGCGGGGCCGGGGGGGCGCTCCACGCTGAGGAAGCAGCTCGCAGGAACGTGCGGTTCCTCTCTCGGTGTTTCTTTTTTTGATTTCTCTCTCTCTCTCTCTTTCTCTTTTTCTCTCTCTCTCTCTCTCTCTCTCTCTCTCTCTCTCCCTTTGTTTGTCTCTCTCTCTCTGTCTCTCTGTCTCTATCTCTCGCCATATCCCCCACTCCACCCGTGCGAACGAAGCTTGAAGGACCAGGGTGCATCGTGCGAAGCGCCAATGCACCTTCATTACACACACACACACACACAAATATATGGCGAGAGATGTATTAGAACCACGCGCGCGCTTCGCGCGCTCAGGTTCTAGCCCAGCCCATGGCGCTGCCTCCATCATGGCCCGCCCACCGCCTTCCCTAGTGCCATTGTCTTCGTCTTTTTTTCACATCCTCCCTCCTCCCTCTTCCACGCATCCTCGCCCATCCTCCCCCTGCCCTCCTCTCTCCAAGTCTTGCCCCCTCCCCCCCGCTCCCTCATGCCACCGGCTTCAGATTACTGAGCGATCTTGTAGCGCTCTTCGGGCTCTCATGGGGCGCTATCGGAGGCCGGAGGGCTTCTGAGAAGCCCAGCGGCCTCTTGAGAAGGTCTGATCAATTGCACTTCCCCCTGGGCGCGCCGCCGAATAGATGCCCCCCGCAATTGCGGGCAAGAGTGAGGGGTGCTCCCAAGCCAGACGCGCCCGACATGGCGTGCCCGCTCAGCGAGCCCGAGTAGCGCGCTCGGGTCGAGACTCCGATGCGGCCGCAGAGCAAGACCGCTCGGACGCCCCCTCACTCTGATGGGGCCGTCGTGAGCATAGGGGGCAGAAACGTGCCGATACCGCTACTCCCCAGACCTTTCCGCGGGTGCGTTACAGTATTCGGCCTGACCCAAGGAACGATAAATAAGGAACGGAGCCCCTGCTTTTCCAAGTAAGTCTACGAAGTCCGAAAGAACACCAGGGGGGCTCGCCGCCAAAAAGGTGGCGGAACGTATGCAGACCCAAGGAACGACCGGGCCCCTTTTGAAAAGTAAATGCTCCTTATCCAAACCGGACCCTGTAGGGTCAAGGTCGGGGTCAAGGTCACAGCATGCGCCTGAGCGCGCCCTGCGCGGGCTGCTGCGCGCGTGGCAGCACAGGCCTCTCTGCCAGGGAGGCGCCCCGACCAGCATTTCAAAGCGAGCCCGACCGTGGCGACGAGGAAAAGGCAGCAGCACTAGTGCCCGGACCTCTTCTGGGAGACGCGCCCGTGGGCCCTTCCCCAGGCAATGTCAAGGGGGGCCGCCCGCAGGGAGGGCCGCCACTTCCTCGAGGAAGGGCCATGGGCCACCAGAACACTCCAAGAGCCCTCCACAACGACCCCGCTCGTCCAAAAACATCCTCGAGATTCGATCCTGGAACGCCGATGCTCGGGGGCAACTGGTGGCCCCGCCAGTGGCGACACCCCTTGGCACTGCCCGTCTTCTGGACCCCTCCAGGGCGCCCTTCCAGGCCGGGCCGCCAGCCGCAGCAGCTGCCTCTGATGGGCCTGTTTTCCACCACCACCACCATCAGTTGGAGGGGCAGGGGGTCCTCCTCCTCCTCCTCCTCCCCCTCCTCCTCCTCCTCCTCCTCCTCCTCCTCCTCCTCCTCCCTCCTCCTCCTCCTCCTCCTCCTCCTCCTCCTCCTCCTCCTCCTCCTCTCCTCCTCCCTCCTCCTCCTCCTCCTCTCCTCCTCCTCCTCCTTCCTCCTCCTCCTCCTCCCCCTCCTCCTCCTCCTCCTCCTCCTCCTCCTCCTCCTCCTCCCTTCCAACTTATGGTGGTGGTGGTGGTGGTGGAAAACAAGCCCATCAGCCCCCCCCCCCCTGGGAGGCAGCGATGGCACTGCGGTGCCGCCGCGCTGTGGGCGGGGGCCGCTGGGCCCGTGGCCGGCGCGCGACAGCTTGCCACGGCCGCCGGCCGCGTGCTCCACGGAGGCCGCGGTCGGCTCGGCCGCCCAGCTCTTGTGGACAACTCCGGCGGGGGGCAGGAGACGGAGGGCGGGGAGGAGGTGGAGGAGGAGGAGGAGGACAAGAACGACACCATGACAAGGGAGGAGGACGAGGAGGAGAAGCATCGGTAGAGCTGAGGGGGGCGGCCCTCTCCTCAGCAACGCGCCAGACGCACCGCGGGCCCGCGGGGCCAGCTCACGGCTTCATTGGACGGCGAGCCTGTCGAGGCCAGCAACGCGGGCCTGCAGGTGCTTGATGTAGAGGTAGTCGTTCTTGTCACGGTGCTTGAGGGACGAGGAGGAGGAGGAGGAGGACGACGAGGAGGAGGAGGACGACGGCGGCGGCGACGGTGGGGAGGGGGGTGGGGAGGCCCATACTGTACTGCAGCCCGCGTGCCCAGCCGCAGCATTATGGGCGCAGTGACTCAGAGCGAATGGCGCCCTCCAGATTGACGCCGTTGACGGACAGTCCACGGTCGATGACTCTACAATTCATGTTATCAGTTGGCACAGTTTGCTTTGGCATCGGTACTGGCTCCCTCCAGCTTGGTGGAAATGGCGAAGCGCTCGCGCAAAGAGATGGCAATATCGGCGGAGATAGCCTCCAACATGACTGGAATTTCTGCACATCTTCGTGCCGTGTGCTCGCCTTCCCTCTCCAAGTGGACGCCCATTGGGCGATGGACCTTCTTGCGCCCACTATTGCGGGCAATGCGGTTCGTATTCGCATCTGCGTCAGTCGAATCCTATGGCATGCGACTTTCGGCACCTCGGTCGCCTCCTTGTCCTCTAGATCACGCTGCGTCATCGCTTCGACGCTTTGAGCCAACGGGTCGTTGACAGCAGAGTCCATCGGTACATTAGGTGCACCATGTCATTTGAAAGGGTGTATTTCGCAAGGGTGCTCTGGGTGAGAGCGAGGTGGACCTCTTGGTGCCCTCATGTTGGCCTTCGACAAACATGTGCGGCGGTGCTTCCTTCTTCCTGCGCGACGTCTGCTGAAGTGTGCCAGCTGAGACCGAAACACCAAAATCTGACTTCTGTGGTTCGCGCACGTGGTATTGCTTGGCGCGTCGTGAGCTGTTCAGCTCGCGCAGGCCTTTGCTCCCGCAGTCGGCATGCTGGTGCTCTGCTTGCCTCTGTCCGCCTCGAGGGGGCCCTGTGGTCGCAAAACTTCCCTTGCGTGCGTCCTCCTGCGCCGACTGCGGATCTGGCGAAGAGCACGGGTGATGACGAACCAACAACACACACCCATACCCATAGAGGGGTCGGAGAGGGCTATGGGTGCGTGTTGTCGGATGGGGGTCCCCGCTCGAACGGGAGAGTTCCCCAGGGTCCGACAACCCGCACCCATACCCATGGCCAGTCCTCCTCCCAACGACCCCCTCTATGGGTATGGGTGTGTGTTGCTCGTTCGTCAGGCGAAGGCGGTCTCGAGCTGGCACGCGATGGCGACAGCGGCTGCGCTGGCAGCGCCGGACAACCACAGCGTTGAACGCCCCGAGCGCCTTCCCGAGGCGGACTGCGCCCCTGGCCGCGGGCCCCACGGCGGAGAGGGGCAGCAGGAGGGCCCGGGTGGCGCGGCGGATGCTCCGATCACGGCCCCCCCGCACAGCGCGCACAGGGGGTTAAAGGGAGGGGGGAGGGGTAGAGGTAGGGGTATGGGGGGAGGCTCAGGACACCCGCTAGACAGCAAGGCGTCTAGCTCACTCCCACCCGCCCTCCCAACACATAAGTCACACCCGAATCTGAGCATGTTCAGCGGTCGTGCTTGGAGGGACAATTATCTGGAACCAAAACCGACCCCATGTGCGAGACGCTGGGGCGAGGTGCGCCACGCGTGCCAGGCGCGCCACGCGCGCCAGGCACCCCTGGGGCCCGAGCGTGCCAGGCACCCCTGGTGCGCCAAATGCTCCACGTGCTCCGCGTGCGCCGGCTGTGCCGCATACTCCAGCCGCGCCAGGTGCGCCACATCCGGGGCACGTCCAAAGTGTGTCAGGTGCGCCTGCGAACGTGACAATACACGTCGGGAAACATGTCGGCTCCCACCTCCTCTGTAGAAAACAAATGCCCATCATTGTTTCTGGTGGCCCTGCGCACAGCAGGCCATACGCGACCATCCCCTTTTCCGCCCCTTATGAATTAATATTTTTACACTGAAAAAATGGCAGTGATCGCGTGGTGGCCGCGCACTATCCAGATTTAACCGCGAGGTGCACTTTGTATTGCATTTTGTTCGGGATGGTAGCGCTGCGCACAACAGGCAACTAGGCTATGTGCTGACACCCCTGCCAAAAAAAACATACCAAGTGCTCTCGGGCCTCACGAACATGACTGAAAGATGTTGCACCAAAGTATAATTTCTATTGGTAGTTGACGAGGATGGCGGGGAAGGGGGGCGCATCGGGTTGGCCGCGCATGCTCCAAATGTGGAGGCAGAACTCATGTTGCATTGTTTTTCTGGCAGGGACGAAAAGGGGGTGAGCATGGTGTCCGCTAATTTCCCGGTTGGCTGCTGGTCGCCTGGGTGGGGGGGGGCGCAAAAATAAGGAACAACGATAAGGGGGAAGGGAAGGGGAGGGGGAGGGGGAAGGGGGGACCATGGCCTGGTTGTGGGAAGGCTGAAGGTTGGCCGACCCGACCCTGGGCCGAAACCTCGTGGCCCTTGGCCACCGTCTGTTGAATCCACCGCGCCCCAGCGCGGAGACTGAGGCGTTGCGCTTCAAAGGCTCATGAGGCGGAATATGCCCCTGCAACAAAACCTCGGGCTGCTTCCATATCCCTGAGTCTGGCAGTAAACTTGGGCCAGGGGAGCTGGGGGGGAGAAGCGACGGGCGAACTCTCCCCCATCTCGGGCGACGCAAAGAGAAAGCCTTGGCGAGACGGTCAACAACACCCGAACTCTGAGGCTCTCTCAAACACTCCGAACTGAGACCCGTGTCCATGTAGGAGCTGCAATCTTCGCCGAGGATCACGGTGCTCGAATGGTCCAGATCTTCGAGCGACAAAAGATTATGCTGTCGAGGGTCCTGCACGATACAAGCCATGGCTTCGCAGCATCCTGGTCCGATTCCTTAGCGCGCGCTACCTGTGTCTGGCTGGACTTGGCAGAAACTCGACAGACCGCGTAAATCCACGCACCCCTCATATACTCCCAGCTTCGAGTCGCGCTCTCAGGCGCAGACAAAATCGGCGGAGGAGGAGGAGGCGGAGGAGAGGCGGCCACAGGGCCCCAGACACGTGGAGCGGACGCGGCTCCCATGGGGGGGTGGAACTCGCGAGGGCCCCTGGCCCCATCTTCCCTCGCTTGGGGGCCACAGCAGGTCACTCGAGGAGAATGCGGGCTAAATAAATCAAAAATACGCTGGGCTGCTTCGGTTGGCTGGCGCGCGTTTCAAGCTCCAACGGACTCGGCTCAGCCGAAAAGTGGGCCGCTTGCTTAGCCGCCTCGCCGGCGGCGCGATTGCCGATGGCGTACTGCGCGTCTTTTGGGCCGGAAAAAGCTGCGTCTAAGCCTTGGCGGCCGTTGACTTTACAAGGGCGCCTGGCTGGCGGAACGACGCGCGCGCGCCTGCCCGCACCTTCGAAGCCCCCCATCGCGGACCTGCGAGGGTAGCGAGGAGCCAGGAGAAGGCGCACGGCGGCCTCATAGTCCGCGTGCACATGAGTGGCGAGCGGCGACGCATGACACGCAACGAGGATCGCCAGCTGCTCTGCTACTCCTGAGGCACGCTTGAACGGCTGTCCTACTTGGCCAGAGAGGACGGCGAATGATTAATTAGTTTCTCTCTGGGCCACGACCGAAGAGCCAGCTGTATAGTATACTGACAAAAAATCTCACAGCTGCCACGGTGTAAACTTGGCCTTCGAAGGCCTCGTGCATGGACAAACCAGGGTCCTTGCACCTAAACTGAACGCGTTCTATCCCGAGGCCAGGCCTGGCTCCCGCGGAAAACGCGGGCCCCCGCTGAAAACCAAATCGAACCTAGGGATCCTCTCTCCTATCTTGCAAAGTGTCCAGCTCCGCTGGGCTAAAGGCTGCTTCTCCTTCAATCATAGACATGGCGCGCTCGAACGTCCAGTGTCTGATGCCATCTGAAGCAGCACCGCAGGGGCACTCAGTCTCGACTGGGTAGCCCGCATAGTTAGCACGGGCCCTCGTCCAGCATCCCTGCGCGAGACACGAGGGCAATCAACATGCCCCTGTCTGGGCAACAATTGATCTTCGAGGGCAGCAGTTGCAACTGAGGGATCGAGGCGAGCCCATGCATCGCCCAGCTTGCTAGCAGCCTAATCTCATACATAGCCACTCCAACCATATTGCAAGGCATGCTGGACGAACGCAGGCGAGGAACTCGTCATGGGGCACGGATTGCCATTGCGAGCTGCAATGACAAAAGGGGAAGGCCAGACTCCATCCAATTCGTTCCAAAGACAAGATCACAGCCGCGAAGGGGCCTCGGACGGCAGCCCATCGCTGGGGCGTGGACCCCAGGAGGCTCTCTCCGCCGGCCTCGAGACTCGGCGAGGCCAGCGCGCGGGTGGAATTGGCGGCGGCCGTCCACACTTGCATGCGCCAAAGGAGGGATGGGCCTAGAGCGCACTTCCAGGTGGGGCCCCCCGCTGGGATGAGACTTACAGTTCTGCTTATTGTCGCGCATTTCGGGCATGCGAGTCTAAAACACTGCTGCTGCGCTACTGCTAACTGCGACTGGTCACGGCCCGTCCCTTCGCGTCCAATGTAGATAGCGGCGAAAATCCTCGCGCTGTAGATCCTCCGAGCATCCCCTCCCCCCTTCTTGATTGCCCCTCACCACCTCGTCTTCCTCTTGATCTGCTCCATCCTCGCCCTGGCGAGTCGGTTCCTCCTCCATCTGCATTGGAGGGCTCCTGCTGCGGCCCCAACGCCTAATTCGGGGGCTGAGATGCCCAGGTTGACCCGGCTCTGTCTGCTAGCTTTTTCCTCGTCGAGGTCCGGAGCTCTGTCGCTGGGGGTGCCATCTGAGTCTTGGCCGGCGAGACG